CCAGCAGTAGCTGAGCATCACTGGGAGATTTTTGTCTCCAATATTTCCAACTCCTTACCCTAATGTTTCTCTTAATTCAATAGTTACTCACACAGGATTGGGGGGTTTGGGAGGGGGTGGGGGGTTGGGTTTAGGGTGTTTTTTAGGGATGTGTATAGGGGAGGGCTTGTAACAAAATTGGCAGCAATAGACCAGATAGGGCAGTGTGCTGGAGCAGTAATTCCATGCTCAGGCTATGGCATCCTGCCTGCGGGAAGTGCAGATTGACACGGGGACTCTCTTACTGAATCAGTGTTTGGTTTTGCTTTTGTTTGTTTGGCTTGATTTTGTTTACAGTTTTCCAGCCAAGACTTGATTTACTTTGGAGTCTTTAAAACTAAGAGCACAAGTGGCTCTGCTTCCTTTGGGCATGAGGATAAAAAAAATAATCGTGTGTGTGTGTGTGTGTGTGTGTGCGCACATAATTCCAGCCCCGAGGGTGCTGGGTTTGCTCAGAAGGAATTTCACGTTGGGTTTGCCCTACAGGGTGCCTGGGGGGCTGGGGTCTCTGGATGCAGCTGTTCCCTCCCAAGCCTGCACACCGGAAGCTCCGACCAAATTTTTCCATACATCCCATCAACTCTGTGAAATTTTCACCCTCTCTTCCAGAGGTCTCCAAAGGAGCCCCTCCGGGAAGCCGGGCGTGCTGGCCAAGCTTGTTTTTGTGACAGCAGAGCATGACCCCACGCGTTAAAAGCCCTGGCGGTGGGAAGGGTGCCTCTCCTGCGAGCAGGGGAAAGCCACTGGGATCGCCAGGCGGGGGGAGGAGTCCTCAGCTCCCCTCTCCTGGAGCTCAGAGAAACCTCCCTCTTTGGGAGGCAGCCGGGCAGCAGATGGCTGGGCTGCGGCGCTGGGCTGTCAGGGGGTGGTGTATCATTTCTCTGGCTGTTCTGGACGCTGATACCCATGTTGGAGAGCAGCCCCTCCTTCAACTTGCTCCATCTTCTTTATGCCCTGATTTTTTCGCAGCTGCTACTAAAGATCACAGGCAACTTGAGCTGCAGCCTTGATGGTGCTCTTGTGGATTGTCTGACTCTGTTCCTCCTCTTTGACATGGATGTGCTAGGTCTTGTCCTTCCCTGTGCCCCAGATTTCCTTTTGTATATGCACAGGTCTGCAATATGCGATTAAAACTTTCAACCACAGTTGCAATTCAGCTTTGACCTCCTTTCTAATCTTTGCAAAAAAAGATGGGGATCTCTAGCAACAACCCTTTGGTTTCAGAACGCAGCCAGGGATGAGACTAAGAATTGCATTGGGCTCAGGAAAAATCATCTGCATCTGTGTGGGATGTATCACACAGATATGCAGGTACTGTTCCAGCACTGCCCCACTACAGCTATCCAAATTGCTTTGCACATCGGGGGGCAACTGCAAAGTAAGAGATGTTTTGACAAGTGAGGGAAATTTTATCACAGTTCTCTGGAATACTAATGGTGCTAGTGAAGTTGGGATGGAAGAAAGGGATTGGGAGGATGAAGTTTTACAGTTGCAGAGTACTCTGAGGTACCTTTTCTAATCTCAGTTGATTTCTGTAATACTTTTCCTTGGTTTAATGAGCTGTATGGAAGATGGTTATGCTCTACGTGAGGAAGTGGTTGACATGTGGTGACAGTCATGCCTGTGGTTTCACACTTTTTTGTGAATTTTTTCCAGAACTCCCAGTTTACTTTCAGAAGAGAGTTGGTTTTCCTTTGGATATGTGCTCCGAGACAGAATGTGTCCATGTACCAGTTCAGCCTCCTTGGGAATGCTTCAATTTGTAGAGAAAGGACATTGCTAACCTAACATTGCCTCCATTAGTTGAGTGTTTTTACAAGTCTCAGTAATGCTGAGAACCTCTGGAGAAGAGAAACATCTGTCTCAGCTATCTCCCTCCTGCCTTTTTCCCACCTACAAAATGGTTTTCAGAGGTTCTCAGTTGCAGCAGAAACTCCGTAGGACTTGGCATACCTGCAAGTGTATTACTGTCCTATTAGTGAGCTTGAAAAAAAAGTATTTAACAGACTGTATCCAGGTCATTCCATTCCTGGACCCTGTCTCTCTGGTTCTTGGTTTTGAATTTTAATTCCGAACAGTTATCACTGAGCATTTCTGCTCAGAAAACCCAAGGGCAGGGTTGTCACAGATTGCTCTGCTTCCTGCAGATTTTCTTCTCCAAATCCCTTTCAAAGGGAAATGCAAGAGAGGCAGGCTGAGTGAAACTAACTGAAGGTGTGGCAGACAGGCTGAAGACGAGCACCCTGCATTTGTCTGGAGAAAAGAGGTCGATTCCCATTAAGAGGGAAAATATAAATTGGGCAAGATTGAGAGTGATTGGGAATGCCTTGAGACATCTGTTTCCCATCTCTGGTTCTCATTTCTATCCTTATTCAAAGCGACAAATGCACAGTAGCTGTCTTTGAAAATTGATGGGGGTAGGAACTCAAAAGTACTCTTAAGAACAGAGCTTGTAATGCACTGAACGCTGGGTGGATGGCGGAAATTTCTAGTGTTAGCCACTTATGTGAAAGTCAAACTCAAACCAAATTGGTTAAGTCAACAGAGCCAGTCCCCAGGGGGAAAGAGAGCTACATAGGCAAAGATTTCAGATGATCTTCTGGAATTGAGGGGCTTCCTGGATCGGTTTTCTTTGAGAGCAAGCAAAATGATAGAGCAAGATGAGTGAACTCGTGCAAGCAGCAAAAGTATCTGTCTGATCTCATTTTTTCCATGCCTTTCCCCCTTTTTTCTAGGTAGAAGAAAATTTAGCCAGAAAAAAATAGGAGCAGATAAAACCCTGTTACTTTTGTGGCTTCTTCCTGGCCAATCCTTGTCACTCACAGGTTATTCAGGATCCCAGGGAAACTTTTTTCAGGTAATTTTATTGGAAATAGCCAGAACCTCTATATCAGACTTGATGAAATTATCTTCTGCCTCGAGATCTGACAAAGTGGAAGAACTGAACTTGAGGGGCTGAAACTCGAATGTTCTCTGGGAGCTTACAGTCATTTCCCTTCTGCAACAGACTAAGCATCCAAATACAGTTGTTGCTTTCCTGCTTCCAGGAAAAGATATTCTCATCACTCTATTCTGAAAGCTAGTCAAAGCTGTCCTTTTTTTTTTTTTTAATCTAATGGCTTTGGTAAATACCTAACATTCAAGATGTGCGATCAAATAGCACTCTTGAAAAGTCTATAAAGGGAATCTATTATTGCACTCTTTGCCAAGTTGAAGTCCTTGCTGGAAGTTGGGTCTTGAGTTAAATGAGGAAGACACTGGGGATGCACAGCTGCTCCAGGTAGGTGTATGCTGCATTGAATATTTCACTTGAAAAAGGATATTTGCTGTCATTTTTACCCTAAAATTACTACTTGAGGCAGCACATACATCATTTCATAAAATGTCAGCTGTCAGTTCTCCCTTTTTGACTGAACTTTGTCAGCATGGGGGGGGCTGTTTCAAGTTGCATTTGTGTGACTGCTGATATTAGTGGGAGTGAAACAATAATGCTTGGAAATACTGATGCTTTACTTGTGTCATGCAGAAAAGAGCAAACTCCAGGTTGCAGGAGGCAATAGATCCACGTACATTCAATCTGTTGTTAAATACAACCAGAGGGCTGGTGACAGTCATTGGGTGAGAGGACGTATCCCTGGAAGGTCAGCTTGCATTTGACGTCAGAAGGAAGCAGGCTGGTGAGGAGTGATCTGCAGGGTGGTAGCACTAACTTCTCTCTACTCAAGGAGGAAGGGAAATGCTGCCAGGTGGACATGGCTTGAGGCATCTGTTCCTTCGTTCTCGCAGTCACTGTCCAGTCATGCTCCTTGCAAAGAAGCCCGGTCTTTACCAAATGTGTGAAGACCTCTTTCTAATAGCTAACTTCTTGTTGACTTTTAACCATCTTTCTTCAGTTGGATTACACTCCTCTATCTCTTTGTTTAAAAATAATAGCTTTTGTGGAAGTTAGCGATTTCTCAGGGAAATGCAATTCTGTGGTGCTGGCGCGGTTCCATTAATCATATAGAGTAATCTGCTTGTGCCAAAAACCTATCAAGTTGAGCTGCCTTTTTGAGAGCTGGTGGGAATGTGTACCCAGTGGTGTTCTTGCTGGCATATGGACTTCCCGTGTGTGCAAGAATGGCTGGGGCATGGGGGGGTCTCCCTTTGCTGTGCTCAGGGTACACAACTTGAATAGGCTGAGCGAGCCTGGCAAGTCTCAGGACTCAAAGTGATACGGACAGATCTTCAGGAAGTTTTATATTTAGGGACACAGGGACTCACCAGCCCTTTTTCATTCCCTGCCCTGAAATTTTCAGCCTTCAGAATAAAGGCTTACGTCTCATTAAAATATGGCAGCACCTTTGGGGATGGAGGGAGAGGCGAGTAGGGGCCACAACAGGAGTATGGGAAGCATAAATCAGCAAAGTGGGGAGGAGGTGATGAGCTATGGAAAGTTTCAGGGCACTGAACCAGGGCGTGGAAAACTACTTTAGAGGCAGAGGGGGTGGAGCAGGGCTTGGCAATGACAGATGTGAGGGGCAAATGAAAAGCTGAAGAAGAACGTTTAGGCATCAAATGGGGAGAGGTGGAAGGAGATCAAACCAATAACCTTTGTTGCATCCTATTTTAGCAAAGGGTGGATGTTGGTGCTAGCACAAGGTGCTGCCCATTAGGAAAGAAAGGGGATAAGGCCGAGTTGCCGTAATGTTTAGCTCGTTCTTTCAGCTTAGAAGGAAATAACAGTAATGCAGAGCCCTGTAAGCTGTCTGTGTATAGTGTGAAATCCCATGGTGTTGCAGTGAGGTTGCTGTGTTTTGGGAATATGGGTTACAGAGCTGCACCCAGCCACAGCTGTTGTAAGGCACCATTTTCCTTCAGGTGCTGTCTCTGTGTTATGTTTGTTCGAGTTGCTTGGTGCACCAGATGATTCTGGCATGGCAAACTACAGTAAGTGTGTGGGACTTTTTTCCCTTGGTTAGATCCCAGACGTTTCACAGCTACCTGGAGGACATCATCAACTACCGCTGGGAGCTGGAGGAGGGGAAACCTAACCCCTTGCGGGAGTCCACCTTCCAGGAGCTCCCCCTGCGCACCCGGGTGGAGATCCTGCACCGCCTCTGCGACTACCGCCTCGATGCAGACGATGTCTTCGACCTCCTCAAGGTGCTTTGGGCAACAGGGATAGGGGAAACAGTGTGGCTGTAGGAGCTGGGCCAGATCCATGAATTTTACTGGGAAGAGAGGAGTAGATGCTTTTCAATGTATTTTAAACCAGGTAACCAGGTGGCGACACAGTGGGTTGGCAGTTCTGCATCTCCTCTGCCTTGCAGAGGACCCAAGGCCAGTGCCCAAGGCTTGGGGCATCCCCCTCTGAGGATGTATTCATAACATGGGAGTCACCAAGCAAATTGGCTTCATTGGCTACCCTTCCTGAGAAGAGTGAATTTGGAGATGCTCCAATGGCAGGGCTGTGAGAGCTGAGACTGCCTTGCTGAGGGATGGTGTGAGATGAAAGGATGGAGCTGAAGTATACTGGGGGAGCTGGGGGATGGTAGAGGCAGGGAGGGGGGGAGGGAGCTTCTCAGGGCTGTGCGTGACTGTCGCCAGCACTAATTAGACCTTCCCTGTCAGGAGCACCAGAGATGAAATGTTAAAACGAGAGAGGCCATTCAAATTAGAGATGCCAATCTAAATCCCTCCCTGGACAGAGAGCGAACAGTCGCCTTCCCCCTGGAGTAACATTTTCCCAGCTCGGCCGGGAGGAGCAGCTGTACTGCTGCTGTGGCGTGGTGGGAGGGAAGGAGGGAGGGAGGGAGGTGTTTGCGGAGGGGTGTCATCATGTTTTGTGTGACAATCGTGGCCGCTTTTCAACTTGTCACCGTCTGGCGGGGGGCTCCCGGTGGGCGCAGGGCCTGGACGCCGACAGCCTCCGTGTGGAGCCGCTGGGCGAGGACAGCAGCGGGGCCCTGTACTGGTACTTCTATGGCACGCGGATGTACAAGGAGGACCCGGTGCAGGGGAAAACCAACGGAGAGCTGGCTCCAGACAGGTAACAACCCACACACATCCCCCCCCGCCATGTCTGGGTGCAGGGGGCGAGGGGGCACAGCCGGCCCAGCTGGAGGGGGCTCCGCCTGACTGCTGTTGTGCCGGGGTGGGGGGGCCTGGGAGAGTCCGGGGCAGTGCGGGGCGAGACTGGAGTTGCCAAGCAGACAGCGGAGCTGCCCTGTGCCGCGCATTGTGTCGGAGCCAGCCTGCAGCCTTTGTGGCACCAGGAGAGCCTGCTGTGGGAATGATGCTGCCTGCCCCACTGCATTCCTGCCTGTCTGCCCCGCACCGTACCGTGCCGTGCCGGCGGCTCCCAGAGCAGGCTCCCAGCCAGTGGGAATCCCTCCTCTCCCCTCCCCATCCTGTTGCTGCTCTGATTTAATCCCTCCTTTGGTTGGGTTCCTAGCAGCTGTTCCAATTTCTGTGCCCTTCTCCCATCCTGCCAGCCTCAGTTCCCTTGCTCAGCAGATATTTCATGGTGGTTTTGCCATTTTTCAGGGGATGTGGGGGGCAGACAAACACCCCAAATGTTCCTGGGAAAACAGGCAAGAGACGAGGGCGACCTCCAAAGCGGAAAAAACTACTGGAGGAAAATTTGCTGAGGTACGGAAGGGTTCTTCCTGCAACAGACTTAAAATACGTATGTTCCCAGAGGAAAGTATAATGTAGTTCTGGGGTTCCTCCAATAAGTATGTATATACCACGCAGCCATAATTTCAATGCATCTCTGAAGCAAAGCAAGCTCAGACTTGGTGGATGCTTTGATCACTCTCCAAAGCAAATTCTGACTGAGCTGGAAGTTCGGTGAAACAGTGGGCATCACTCTTCCAACCACCTCACTTCAAATGCAGTTCCAGTGTGCAGTGCTAGAGGATTTGCTCCTGATAAGAACACTTTCACTGTGTAGCACTTGAAGCCAAAAATCCCAGCCACTTGAGTCAGTGTAGGTTTCGGGATGCTTACACAAGAACTGAAATACTGTGCTTGCCAAACTTCAACCTGCACCCTTCACTTTTAAAAACTTTATGAAGCTATGATAAATATATATGTGAAAATATATATCAAACGTGTGTTCTGCAGGTTGTTTTTTTCATGGTTTTGCTGTGCATTGAATAATTGCTGCGTCCCCCATTCTTCTTAGAAGCAGCTGCATTTCACGTGGTGTGAAGTAATGTATTTATTGTATCACTTCTTCTCTTTCTTTTTTTTGGTAGGGAGAAGGCAGAAGAGAACTTGCTAATCCATGAGACTCAGATAAGAAATGGTAAAGAGATTTTGCGGCATCAGGGTTGATACCATCGGCTAACATGGTTCTTAAATTGTCAAAGCCCAGAGAGATGTCTGTAACAACCCAGCCTTTCTCAGGAAAGGGAGAGTCTTTCTGCTGGTGGTTGGGGCCAAGCTGGGAAGGAGGGGTTTGCAGGGATTACAGGCTGCCTTGCAGCTGGGAGCCTGGGCACGTGTAGGCTTCCTATCTTATCATGGATGATTTTGGGAGGAAGAAACCTAACCTATTGGGATACACTAGACCTTGAGGGCTCACCTACAAAAATGGGTTGTGAATGGTCCTCCCTCTTCCAGGCATGAGGTAAACACATGGCCCTGTTGGTAGCTGGTGTGTTTTTTAGGGCTGGGAAGAGAGTGTGGTCAGTGATGCCAAGACAGAGAAGGAAGAACCTTTTTGATCCTCCTCACTTCTCCTTCCTGGTAGCCATTCGGTGGCTGAGCACAGTAAATGACATCTTGAGGGTACCCACCTAAGGGTTAACGAGGCAAGCAGAAAGAATCAGTTGGCAACATGATGTGAATGTGAGTTCAAGGGAGCTGGGACTCATTTGTCATACATGTGTATCCACTGGCTTCCACAAAACCCAGGGACTCGGCCTGCCTGTTCCCTCACAATAAAAGGCAAGGGTGGCATTGTCTTTCCCTTTGCCCTTTGTCTTCAGATTTCCTGGCGGCTGCTCCAGAGCTGGGCGGCAGAGCCAGAGCGGTGTGCGTGAGGCGCTGGGGGTTTTATCAGATCATTGTCTTCTAGCAAATTGTGTCACTTCAGCTGCAGAGTAATCTTCTGGTGGCACAAAGCAGTGCCTTAGTCCTGTTTGCTATTGAAATGAGTTCTCCGTAGGCAGCTGGCAAGGGAATAGGAAACAAGGGTACAGGGTTTGGGGGCAGTGTGCAGGTAAGCTCCCCCCTGCAGGTGGGCAGATGGCTGGTCCTTTGCCATCTCTGTTACTAGTCCCCAGAGCATTCACTTGAGCTGAAGCTGAGGGTGGGCTCAAGTCCAGGCTGGCCTGTGACCCGGAGCATGTGCTCGCTCTGTGCCACTGCCATGGCACCCAGGCTTCTGACAGAGGGCAGGTGGCTGGGGGGAGGCTGCAGCTTCCCGATCTTCCTAGGGCAACCTGACAGCTTGCATGCCAGAGGCACTTGCAGCTCAGATCCATAAAGGGCCCAGAATCAGGTTCAGAGAGAAAGCAGCTCTGTTTTTTTACTTCTTTATATTTTTCGTTTTTAGTTTGCTTGAAAATGTGATGAGAGGGTGCATGACATCTGCCAGTGGCAGTGGTGGCCATTGCTTTCTTTCCAGGAGCCAGTGGTTAGCTCTAGAAAAGTCTAGAGGGAGCTGAGAACTCCCCAGCCTGAAGGTGTTTGATTCAAGACTCATCCCCCCCCTTCTCCCAAGTGAAAAAAAAAGGACCACAACCTTTTTTGCTTAGAGAGCATCCTGGGGCAAAAGCGTACAAGTTGCAACCCATGAGGCTTCCCTGCTCTGTGTAAACATTTGTGGAGCAGGAACCACATTCCCCTTCTCCAGGTGGGTGTTCCAACCACCATGCAAGAGAGCCCTTCCTTCACAATTAGTATTCAAATATTTCACACAAGGTGGAACAGCTCAGAGTGTCTTGGTAGTTGGGACATGCTCAGAGCGGTGAGTGATCTGCTTCAATCCCACTCTGGATCAAGCAAGGATGGGACGTGAACTTTTGGAACTTCCCCGTCATCTGGCAGCCTGATGAACCCTGTCCTTCGCTTCCTCTTCTGTTCTTTCAAGTGCCTGTGAACAAAATGTTTCATTTGGGGAGAACGGGGGAATTTTTTCACTGCAGAAAAGGTTTGCAGTGCTTAAAAAAAAAAAAAGAGCTTATTTCAAATTACAGTATTTTTGATGGTTTTATTCTGCTGCCAGACTAAATCAGACGTTTGTATTTCCCCATGTCCTGCTCTGGCTGACAGCCTCCATTACAAGAAGCAAATTAAATCCTTTTCTCTGGTCCATCATAACTGGAATGTAGGCTTGCTACAGGGATGTTGTACTACCCATGTATTGCCATTTCCCATCATTATTTCTTCAACTGTGTGTTTCCTCTGTGTCTTGGCATCACTTTCAGTGTCACTAAGGGAGGTAGCAGTGCTTCTGGTGGATGAGGAGAGCTTTGGGTCTATAGCAAAGAGCACGTTTTTCGTAACAGTGGCCATTAACAGTGTCTTTCGCTCTTCCTGAGCCCTGAGGAGAGAAGAGAAGGGATCAAGAAGAGCTGTTAGTCATAACTGCTGTGGAGATAACATCCTTTCATGTTTTTGAAGGGTCCCAAGGGCCTGGCCGTGGAACATGGTGGCTGCTGTGCCAGACGGAAGAGGAGTGGAGGCAGGTCACAGAGAGCTTCAGAGAGAGGACTTCCCTTAGAGAGCGGCAGCTCTACAAACTCTTGAGTGAAGACTTCCTGCCGGAGATCTGCAACATGATTGCACAGAAGGTGAGGAGACATGACATCCTGTTTACCTCTCTTTGACCGCTTCCAAGAGCATGGACGTTTGCTGAGTGAAGTTGCTGAATCCAAGCAGCCCGTCACCCCACCTCCAGCCTCCAAGTGTCATGGATGTGGGGGCTGTTCAGCTTGTGTGGGGGGGAAAGGCTCTCCCCCATGCTGTGGCAGGGCTAGAGTTGATGCTCGAGGATCTGGTTCATGGTTGCACGGCGGCGTTGGTAGGAAGGCTGAAGGGGTTACTGTCTTCAGCCATGTTCCGTGTCCCTTTTCTCCTAGCAGGGAATTCTCTGTGCTTTTGAACTGCTGCGATTTACAGCCTAGCTTTTCTATGCAAACTGCCTGTGATTCCACTTTTACTGCCCTTTCTCAGCTGGCTCTGCTGGAGGGGCACTGGCTGCTTTAGCTGTCCTAGCTAAGTCTGCTTGAGCTGGTTATGCTAGAGCCCTGGAACTCTGAAGGGTATTGTCCGTCAACTGAATGTTTTCAGGTGGGACAGATTTGGAAAGGGATCCTTCGGCTAGATGGCTTTGTAAAATGGGTTCTGCAGCCAGCGTGATGTTCTTGGATTGAGTTCAGTTTGCTTGTTTGCTACCCTTGTAAAGCTAATAGGGATTTCATGGTCACTTCTAGCCCCCAGAGTTTCTCCTGCCAGTGTCACCGATGTGCCCTAATTTCCTCCACTCTCTTTTTCCTTCCCTCAATTCTCAACCCTGTTTCAGGAGAAGCGTCTGCAGCGGACAGAGTTTTCTCCCAGGTGGATGTCTGACCATCAGCCCATCAAACCAATCAAGCAGGAGGTGAGGGGGGGTGCGAGGGGGAGGACGACGGAGGGAGGCGAGAGCAGATGCCTCCTAGGGGAAAAAATAAACCGCAGCATCGCTATTCAGTGGGAAGGAGTCACTTGAAAGTGCTTGTGCTGAAAGAGAGATGGGTGGTAATGCCCGTCAAAGGCAGGCTGACACTCAGGGTTTCTATGGCGAGCAGGGAGGTGCTGCCCTCTGGATCGCAGAGGTAACCGGCCTCGCTGCAGACTCCGGTGCAGCTGCATATGGAAATCTGCACTCAGTCTGGGGAATTCCACTTCAATGAGAGTGCTGGCACATTCGAGGCAGTTCAAAGAAAAGTTGAAGAAGGATGAGAGGGCTAGAAGAACCGGCTTACAAAGGGAAATGACAGAAATTCAGCCAAGGGGAAAACGTGAGGCTGCAAACACATGAGGATGTAGATAGTGCTGAGGGAGAGAAGAATGACTGATGCAGCATGCGGAGCTGAGCTAGGAGGGGGTCAGCTGGAAATGGAAGTCACAATGTAGGCAGCTTAAAGAAATGCTTATCAAACTGCAGCTATGTTGGCTGAAATGGCTCTTTCCGTGCCTCTTCACCCTCATCTCCTCCACCCCATCAGTGTAACAGCACTGCTGCTGCCGCTCCTTGCGGGTCTGTGCAGTGAACCAGACCCAGGAAAATGACTGGAGTTAAATATAACCTTTTTCTTTGGTCAGGGTTATTTTTAACATAGATCAGTTTTCTGATCCAGTTCACCACACAGCCCCTAACAGTCATGCCAGCACAGCCAGGCATGTGGTGCTGTGGAGATGGGGGATCTTTGAACTGGCAACTGCTGCCCAAAGCAATCGGTCAGACAACTTGGGATTAGCTCTGGAGGAAAAGATTGTCTTGATTCTATCAGGTTGTGGCATAATCTCTCACCGCAGATGTAATCAAAATGTAGTTACCTGGTGTTTTGTCAGAGCCTGGGAAATAAAGCTGCAGGGAATATTCCACATGAGCCAGAGTCAGAGGTTCCCGCAAAACAAAGGAGAAAGTAGTTCCCTGCAATAAATATACTTACTTGGAACAGATAAATAAAAGGAAGGAAGAACCTCTCATCATGCTGCAGATAAAAGCCTGCCAGGAGGAAAATAAGACCCCAGTGATGGTCAGTTTGGGGCCAGAATTGCTCTCTGCAAAGCCCACCGTGCAGGAAGCGCAGGGACACGTGTTTGTTCACAGGCAGCAGAAATCCCAGAGGAGGAGGGGAGTGGGAAACACATGGAGCCTGAATGATGCTAATCAGTACCGCAGGTGCTCCAGGTCTGCTGTGGCAGAGGGCTGTTAATTGCTGCCTGTGGGCCAGTGAAATGTTTCCAGCGAACAGGGGGCCCTCCTGGCTCCTGGGGCACAGGGAGCCAGCCAGTGTGAGGGTGGTGATGCTCACAGCGCTCCCCAGCAGGATGTGGCAGTCATCCCTGCCACTGGGGAGCCAAGGAAGGTGCGAGCATGTCTGATATCCTATTTGTCAAGTGAGGGCGGGCAGCAGGCGAGCCTGGGGGAGAAAACCTCGGCCGAGTGCAGGTGACCCCTTCCTCCTGGCTGCTGCTTCAGTCCAAGATGTAACTGCTCCATGGGCTCCTGATCCTGCAGGGGATTTCTCAACAGGTGGTTCAGATTAGCTCCTCATTAAGAGCCGCCTGAGCAGCACCCTCATTAGGATCACGCTGTGGAAACCTGAGCAGGAAAGGTTTGGTGGATGAGAGGCCAGGGTGTCCAGGGCACTCGTGCCTCCTGGCCTTCTGCCCCTGAAGTCTGATACCAACTGCCTGGAGAGCAAAGCAAACGGCAGGAGTTTGGGCAGGAGTTTGGCCCTTTCAGGTCGCAGGGCCAGGGGAAGGCAGTGATGTTGTATCCTGGAGTGCTCTCTACCGGAGGGAAGGAGGCGGTGATGCTGTGGTAGCAGTGGTTTTTATCCTCCAAGTGGGGAGGAAGCTGGAGAAACGTCCTTTTGCCACCTGTGTGATCAGGAAGGAAGTTTAACTTGAGTTTGGTTCTTGTTTTTATCATTCCAATAGGCGTTGGCTTCCACCACATCTCATAGGAGTTTACTGATTTGTGTTCACGTATTTTTTTAACCCTGAGTTAAGCACACTCATCCCCAGTGGGCTTAAGGGGGACACCAGGCAGAGGGTCCCTCTGAAAATCAGGTTGTTTCTGTGCCTGAAGTGTCTCAAAGAGCCAGCATTGCATTGCTGCTGCCCTGCAAGTACTGCAGGGAGCAAGTGCCGTTGTGGGTGTCTGCTGCAGCCCTTGGGGCTCACTACACTGCATCTGTGGTTTCTGCTTTTCCCTTTTCTTCTTCTACTTCCTACATCTAGTAGGACGACACCCTTCCTTTGCTTAAAATTGTCCCCTTGCTTTGTTGATGCCATATTTGTGGTGTGTTGACCTGGAACATGCTATAGATTCGATGCCATTACAGTGTAGGGTGCTGAATGCACCCTGCAGGCTTGGAAGGGTTCTGGTGGTGAGCACTGCAGCTTGGATGTTGTGTTTGTGTTTCCATGGGACATGAATGGTGAAAGTTGTATGAATCCAGGGAAAGGGAAGGTCTCACCTGTGTACCAACAATCAGAGAAGTTGGCATGTCATGCCAGGCTGGCTTAGATCTGCTGGTTGGAGAGTTCAAAGGCTGATGGTCACATCCTCAATAAAGCATATTAGTGTACCGACTTCTGATGCCTGGTTCCTGCTCACCTCTTCTAATTGCTGCAGAGCCTGACTTTTTTGGTTCTTACTGCTATTTGAAGATTGATCAAGAAAGTCAGGGGTAAACTGTTTGACGACAGTAGGGATCAGACCTGAAAGGAAATTGTTTGCAGCTCATGAGTAGAAAATTGGATGGTAGAGCATTTGAGAAAGGGATATGAAAAGAATTGAAAGCGTAAGTGTAGAACCCAATTCTGTAGGTTCTTGACCCCTTGTACTTGGCAAAGCACTTTCAGTCCTGAGCATCCTGGTGTTTGGATATTGATCAGGGAGAAAAGCCCTGAGAGACAACTGGAGCTGTAATGATTGCTTTATAAGGAAACATTTAACCTAACTGGAGAAATGTGGGAGTTTTGTGTGAGTGTCTGAGGAAGCCTGTAAAGGCTGGAATATGGCTGAAGAACAGAAGGATTTGTGCTCACCCAGAAGAGCCTGAGAATAACTGGATGGAATGAGGGGTTGAGAAATGAACTTCAGGCTGAATGTGAGGAGAAGCTGGCTAAGCTAAGGCACATGAGCTCACAGAATGATTTTTCTAGGAAAGGGATGTACGAGTGAACTACTAACATTTGGCAAATATCTAAAAAGGAAAAGAAGATAGGCAGAGTTCCCTCATGGTGAGATGATGCTATAGAGTTCACCTAAAAAGATTGGTGTTTTTGCTGCCCAGTCTGTCTCTAAATGCAGGATATGGTCCTAATTTTGTCAAGAGTCCCATCACCCTCTCTTTGACACTTGGTGTCAAACGACCACACTTTGACTGTTGGTGGTTGAAATATAATTCTCTTAAAATATTTTTGCTGCTGGAAATAGGCAGATAATTCATGATGCTCATCCACAGGGAGTTGGAGTGGGACTTTGTAGGGCAGCTCAGGGCTGTATAGGGGAGGGGGAGGCAGAGGGGGAATGAATGTACAGTGAAACCAGACAGCATTTCTAGGTGTTTATCAAAACAGCCCCAGGTTCCACTCCTAGGCAATGAAACAAGGACAAAACAGTAATCATGGGGCCAGAATTTCTTTTTTTCTGGGGATTAATAATGGGCCTGGAGAAGTTGATGATCTGAGCAGCAGCCAACGGACCCCAGCTGATTGCTAATCCTCAGGAAATGCCTTCTGCTTAAGTGGTGGTTGCTGGTTATTCCCTGAAAATGAAGTTGGAGCAAACTGTGTGTACGCTGTTCTTTTCCGATTGATATTCCCTGCTGACAAGGCACATGTATCTTGGTCTTGCAGAAGTCAAAGGGGTGGGAGTGGCTGGTGGATGACTGATTCATTTGTCTTATCATTAATTTAAGCTAATAAAGATAATTCCACACTTCCATATACATATCTTGCACTTCATTGGAGAAACAGGAGCAGGCGATCCCTGGTCGGGAAGCCTGCAGTCTTAAGCAGGATCAAACACAGCCTTGGAGCCTGCTGGCAGTGGGGAGCTGAGGAAGTGGGGCAATAAAGAGCCAGGCATCCTGGAGTGAGAAAACTGGTTTTGGGACCCAGCAGGAAAACTGTCCAAATAAACAAACAAGATGTAGTTCAGGGGAGATTAGCACACAGAAATTTTGAACAGGAAAGGAAAACATTCCAAACGATACCTCGATGCAAGGCTGTACCAGTCTCTTTTCCTAATGAAGTACTCTGTGTTTTATAGCAGAGCCAGGTTTGGCAACGTAGTTCTTTCTGCTCACACTTCCCACTTGGAGCTCTGCTAGCTGGAAGAGGTAGAGGTGTTCTGTGGTGCTGTCAACAGCCTGAATCCTTTGCCCAGAAGGGAAGGGAAATACTCACAGTGTGTCCCTGACAGAATGGCAGCTTGTCTAACCCATCGCTTCTCCTTCCATTGTCCTTGTATCAGTAGGATTTCATTGCTTGACAAATAACTTTCCTTTACATGTTGCTTTTCATCTAGGAATTCATGCATACAAATCCATTTTTCCCTTTTTTTTTTTTTCCTCCCAGCCATTCATTGTAGGTTTGCTTTAATATTTGCTCAAAGTAATCCTTCCTGTGCTCAGACTTGAATAAGCCAATGTGTTACAGTTTTTGGTGCCCTGTTCTGTCACAGGTAAACCCGAATGTGCTGAGTTCCATGGAGAAGCAGAGGCGCAGGGAGGAAGAGGAGGAACGCCAGATCCTTATAGCAGTGCAGAAGAGAGAGCAGGAACAGCTGCTAAAGGAGGAGAGGAAGAGAGAGATGGAGGAAAAGGTCAAAGCAGTGGAAGGTAACATGCAGCCAAGTGTGAAGCAGAAGTTTTCAAAGCCAAGATTGAAATCTTGAATTAAGATCTGCCATTTACGTCCCTCCCCTGCCAGACCTGCTAATGGGAATATCTTTTCTTGCACTTATCTGTGATAAGTTGGTCTGTCTGTAGCTTCTTTTCCTTTGCCTATCTCCCTTGGTGTTGGTGGCTGTTCTCTAGTATACCCTTTGACTGTGTTGTCTTCCTCAAATCATGCTTATTTTCTCCCTCAGCTATGCTTTTTTTCCTGCTATCACGTTGTTTCTCAGTTCTCTTCCATCTCCCCACTTGCCTCCTTATGGATTTCCCTGTGTGCAGGATTAGCTGGATTTGCTCTTGCTGAATAGCATTTGGTTCTTTTGGCCCAGTCCATGATGAAAGAAGAATTCCCTTTGAGGAGAAAGGGAAGGGGACAACATAGGAGTAGCAAGAGTAACATTTTTTTCCTGGCCTTACCAATTGGAGAACTAGAGATGAAGGGACCAGGCTACCAGAGCACCAGAGGTGGCAACTTCACATGTTGGTTTGATTTTTTTTTTTTTTTGGTTATGAATTAAATGCTGAGTTAAACTGTTCTGCAAGAAACAAATGTATTTTATGTATTTAATACATCAGCTCAAGGCACAGACAGCAGGCATTCAGCTGTGGCACGTAGGCATGGGTGTCAGAGCAGGCTCATTTCTGACCACCTTCTCTCTGTCAGCCTCCCTTACGGGACTTCCGTGAGCTGCTGCTTCTGCCACAGTGACTGACTGGGCTGTTGCAGTTCTAGGGAAAGGCTGAGCATCTTCAGAAAGCTGTGGTGGTAGTGTGTGGCAATATCAGTATCCTGAGTCCTTAAGGGGATAAGGAATCAGAAAAGGAAAAAAAGATTAGGTTCATGCAAACCTTGTAAACTTTCCAAGATGAAACAGTCTGCTACCAGATGTTTGGTAGCATGCCAGATGTTATCTAAGAATAGGGTTTTTTACCTGCTTACCTTTCTAACCTTTAGAAAATCCAATTACTTCCTTGGCCTTCATATATTCCTGGTTGCCAGTCCTAGCTAATCCAGTGCTTTAAACTGAGACTCATCCAGCTTCCATATCTGCTGTAGATATCTGTTTCACCTTGGAAAATTGCATATTCTCTGTGTTTTTAATTCTTCATCTGTATAGACAAAATTAATCTTGAGGTTCCAGAGGAGCTGCAAAGATAAATGTTCCTGTAACATGGCTTTGCTTTGGGATAAGCCACTTCCTTTTCTGGGTAAATGCAGTCACTACATCATCTGATTCAAAGACACCAGAGCCACTCAAAAAAATTAGCATACATTCATAGCTTTTCTTGGCCGAGGTGCTTTTACTTTGGTTTAAACTCATGCCTAGTCCTAGGTCTTCTGTAGAGGAAGGATGTGAAATACAAAAGTGAAATATCTGCTCTCTGATGAACTTAATCAGCACTTCACCTTCTTCTCAATTTTGAACTGTATGCCTGTTTTTTAAAACATGTTCCTGTTTCCAGTCTGAGATTTCACTTCCCCCCACTCCAATGCACACTCCAGGTAGCAAGTTTCCTGCTGGGCCCATCTGTAGTCTCCTGAATTTATGAGTTAAGGCAGCTTTCTAGATTTCTACCACAACAGCAGGTTAGAGTTTCTCAGTTCTCTTTCCAGATGCTGCTTTGTTATAATCTCTCACAAACATGACTTTCTGACTGGTTGAGGTACTTTTTAGGGCACTGTTTAGATTTTAAAGCTGCTGGGTAGGACTCAACCCAGGCCAACCGTGTGAGAATGAGCTCTGCCTGATATGTAACATGCTGTGTTAATCACTAGCTGTGGTAGAGGTTCCTGCCATTAATCCTGACTGAAATCCAGTCTGGTACCAGGGTAGTGCTCCTCGATTCCTGTCAGTTTACCGAGTCACATCTTTGGCAGGCCTTGGAGGATTTCTAAAATCTATATCACCTTACCTCTTGGCTGCTGTTGCCATGAGATTTTCCTTTTGCTGCCCGAATTATTGCTTCATGTTTTCCTCAGCTTTCTCAAATATGCATCCATTGCAATGCCATCTGAGTGATGCTAATTTTAGGAAAGAAGCATGAAGTACTGAACTGTGCTTGGACAGACTCAGATAATCTCTGTTACCTGCAATTGGATGTTGGACTTATCATCATGAAATGTTATAATAGATGCTGTTACGTTCTGTAGGACACCTTAGAACCAAGTCCTATACTCCCAACTTCAGTGCTGCCCAGAGTCTTCTAACAGGAAATTCAGGCTTTCTTTTACCAATGTTTGACATATCTGACCATGGATGTCCCTATAAATAACCACTTTGTAGCTATTCCTACATTTTTTGTGCCCTCAGCCGCTATCTCAAGTTTGTTTTTGACCGACAGAGTAAGACATTAAATTAATATTTTTCCACCAGAGCTGGTACTTCCTGAGTCTTTGACATTTTCCAAATATGAAGCCTCTGATAGAGGGTGTTAGCCAAGTCTCTCCCATCTTTCTTTCTCTCTGGGTGTTCCCTGATGTGGCCTGTTTTCAGGGGTCCTACTCCTGTGACATCTCTCCTTGAACACTACTTTCACAAAATTCTGCTCCTACGCAAGGTTGGTCCAACCACAGGTGTTTTGCAAGTCAAATGAATTCAGATTCTTATAAGAGAAAGGAAATGAGGTTCATAAGAGCCCATAAACTTTCTATTATGAAGCAATCTGTTAGCCAGCTGTCTGGTTGCAAACCACAGGTTATATTACTAGAATTGCTTCTTCCTGTCTCTCACCTCTTTAAATCAAAGCTGTCCCAGTGGTCTTCCTGTGTGGCAGCTTGTTTGCTCTGGCTGCTGGCCATGAAGACCCACCTGAGCAACCTTCCCAAAGCTTGATCATGGAGGATATTAATGTCCCCAGTTACTCATTGCCACTTAGCTGGTAGAACTTCACCCTTCCCTCTGCACTGCTCTTCATCCCCTTCAGTGCAAAAGCAGCTGCCTTGAGTTTACCTGCCTGAGCCGAAGCACCTAAAGGAAGGTAACAACAAGCCAGCTCTTTCCATATTGCTGATCTATGCCTAGGTCTGGTTGAACTTCTCTCTCTGTACCACAGCACTTCTGAAAGCTGCCTAGGGGAGCATCTGTGTCAAAGCAATGCTTCAAAATCGGTGATGGTAAACCAAGGGAGGATGAAGAGGTGTGTTGATGGTGCACTGCATTCTCACCTCACCTGCTCCTGTGCTGTTGCCGCTTTTGCCGAAAGAGCAAGACCATCTCACTGGAGTTCTTGAGAGCTGCAGGACATGCCTTCTTTTTCCCTGAAAGAAGTTGACAAGTAGTGCTGAATGTTTTTTCGCCTCTTCCTACTACAGAACGGGCCAGGAGGAGGAAACTTCGTGAAGAGAGGGCCTGGCTGCTGGCACAGGGAAAGGAGCTCCCTCCTGAGCTGTCCCACCTGGATCCCAGTTCCCCTTCCAGGGAAGAGCGAAGGACCAAGGATATGTGAGTACACAACTGGGCATTGCAGCACGTGAGTGCATTGAAGTAGTGAGTATGGCAAGGAGAGGAGTGTAACCATTCACAGGAGTGAGGAGGGAGAGGTGAGGTTAGAGAACAGTGAGGAGTAAGGTGGTAAACATCTGAATTTGGTCCACATGAGAGGAGTGTTTGTGATGAGGCCTATTTGTCAGCATTGTGACACTGTGCATGGATGGAAGGGAAGACGAAGTACAAGAGCATGTCCTCAGTCTGCATATTCACTGTGGTGCTTCTCATTGCAGCTATGAACTGGATGATGAGTTCACAGCCATGTACAAAGGTTAGTCCTACCCCAGCTTTCCCCTTTGCGTGACTTGCTCAAAGTGAAGTCCTCCCCTGTGTGTGTGTAACCATTCACCTTTCTCTTGCTAACTCCAGTTCTAGATGTGGTGAAGGCTCACAAGGACTCTTGGCCCTTCTTGGAGCCCGTTGATGAATCCTATGCTCCCAACTACTACCAGATCATTAAGGTATGGAAAGTGATCCAGCCGTCTTGACTGATGCACTTTGTTGACCAGGAGGCAGTTTTTTGGAAGTGTTTTGATGTTTTGTGGGCTGTATTAGTCTCACCTCTCAAACTGCATGTCTCCAGTAGTCCTTTCTAGCCTTACAAGTCAAGGAAACCAAAGATGAGAGGCTTCCTCTCTGGAGAGCATCCTCTGCTGCCCCATCCCCTCTCTGAGGAAGCTACAGCTCCAACTTTGTACACCCCACTATGCTTGCTGTCACTGAAGGGAGGTTTGGTTGTATTTCAGGCCCCCATGGATATCTCTAGCATGGAGAAGAAGTTAAATGGAGGTCAGTACTGCACCAAGGAAGAATTTGTGGGTGATATGAAGACCATGTTTAGGAACTGTCTTAAGTACAACGGTGAAGGCAGTGGTAAGAGCAGTAAGATAATAAATTCGTCTATTTGCAGTGCTCAGTCAAAGCAAGCAGTGATCTCTTCCTCCTCACCCGTCCTTGATTTGTGCTTCTTCTCTTTCAGGATATTTTTGGGAGACCAGATGAAAGAGTAGGAGCTTCTGAGTAATAAGGCCTGGGGTTTTAGTGAGGCTTTTAGCACAATTTGGCCGTGCTGGAAGGGGCATGGGATACTAAGGACTGCCGTGTTGGTAGATGGTGACAGCAGAACATATAAAGAGAAGGAAGTCTCTTTCTTTCTGAGCTCATTCCTTCGTGTGCCTGTGTGTGCCTGTGTGCCCCTTTTTCTCATAGTAACTAACACAGATTCTGAAAAGCATTGGAGTCTGGTTAACTCCTAGTGTTTGAGTACTACAGTGAGGAGTGAACCAGGTTTGTAGTCCTTCAGATGGAAAATGTCAGGTTTAGGTTCCTGATCTACTGAATGAACAACATGAGTCTGCAAATGAGAAATCCTGGGTTTAATTGCCATGCCAATTAAAACTCTGCATGTTACTTAGGTAAGAAATCAGTTCCCATATGGTGAGTCATCACTGCAGACTGTGTCTCACCAGCAACACCTTGAAAGGGATAACAGTTAGGAACTAATCAGCTTGTTGCTGTTGGCTGCAAGTAAAAGCATACCTGCACTGCCACTGACAGAGCTCTGTCCCCCAGGGAACTTCAGGGTTAGTTTAGTGGAAACAACTGGAAGGTCATTTGCTTCAAGGCCTTGTCATTAACACCTCTCACATGTCTTTTCCTTCCTACTCGCTCAACGAAAAGTAGAAGCCCATCTCAGCAGGACTGTCCTGTGGAAATGGTGCACTGGGGACTCTGGTGTTGGCAGTAGCTCTCATGTCAGGGCCAGCAAATGCTTTAGAAACTGTACATGAATAAATGTGTTTGCTGATTTTCCTCTGTCTTGTAGCCTATAGCGCAGATTCGAATGAGTCCAAGAAAAGCCTCTGAACGTAATCAAATAGCCTTGCTGGAAGTTCACATTTCTTCTCTCAGCACTCTGCTGGCTAACTGTGCACTGTGCAGGTCACACATCTCTGTGAGCAGAGGTAGTACTCCTCTAATGTAATTCTTGGCACTACTCTGGAACAGAGTTAATGCTGACTCCGCAGACCATGCTGCCAGTGGTACTTTGTCATGCCTATGTGCCTGTCCTCTGGTGGGGTTACTGAACAGATCTGTGTTGCTTATGGAAGTTTAGGAACCAAAGCCAACTAGTTAGAAACAAAAGTCTTCCTCAAAGAAACTTGGAGGAGGGGAGATGACTCATCTGATGGGGAAAGTCTGATGTTGCATAGCTGTTTCTCTCTATAAGGCTCCATTCCTGACGTTGTTGGGGTTTTTTGACTGCAGAATATACCAAGATGGCTTACAACTTAGAGAGGTGTTTCCACCGAGCAATGATGAAGCACTTCCCTGGGGAAGATGGAGACACAGATGAAGAGTTTTGGATCAGAGAAGATGGCAGACGAGAGAAGAGGAGCCGGCGGACTGGCCGCTCCGGCACGGGCAGTGTTTGGACTCGGTCACGAGACCCAGATGGGCCAGGCAAGAGACAGCAACGCCTGGAAAATGGAGGAAAACCTCCACCATATCGAGCTACTTCCAGGGCTCCTGCTTCTTCCTCTTCTTCTTCTTCCTCCTCCTTCTCTTCGTCCTCTGTAGAGGACCCAAGTGGCAACCCAATGCAGACTACTCGGGAGGTGGGCCCTTCCAACGGGCGAGGCTTCCCCCGCTCCCTGCAGTACGGTGGCATGCCCAGCCCTGTGCCACACCCAGGACAGATGGTAAGGACCAGCCTCTGCTGTTCTGCGCCCATCAGACCTGTGGAGGGAGGGAGAAATGAAAGGGGAATGAAACTTCCTACTGTGAAATCCCTACTGCCTGGCAAGAACCTTTTCCCAGAGATAAAGGGTCAGGGCTATGGTTTCTCCAATTGAAACTTTCCAGCACTTAGGTTTAAACTGGTACAATTTCAGTCTTCGCCACACGAGCTGGGAACAATCTCTTAAGGTTTCCCATGGCCAGCATGTCCCTGTGTAGTCTTGCACCAGCCCTGGTTTCCCCAGTTCTCTTCTCTCCTTAGAAAGTTTTACCCCATTGTGCATGGGAAGCTGTCACATTTCCTCTCTTAACCTCCAGTTTATGAAGCTGAAACCAACTGGTCTTCTTTTGTCTCAATTGTTTACAGATGCCTGGTAAGTTTGTGCCATCTGTGTACTACTGCATTTCGTGCCTTGAGTATTTATAAAAGCAGTAAACTAAATCAAACAAAGGCCACCCTGGACTGCAGCAGTGACCTATCTTTAGCCCAGCATTTCTTCTCTGAATGCCACCTGTTCTGCCTCCCGTCTGGGCTGTTCCTCACACATCCTTCACTGCCTTTTCTGTTTTAACCACTGATTGTGGTAATGGTGGTGTGGTGTATCAGCTGCACCTCTGAGATCCAGGCTATTCCTTGCCCTTTTAGCTGGAGATCAGACAAAATTTTTAGAGCGATTCTTATGATGCAGATAGTGGCAGGCAGTAGGAAGAGCTGGAGGCATTTTGAAGGAAGTCTAGCACATTCCCCCATTATTTTCCTGCTTCCATAGTCTTGTGGTTCACTCCACTTCTTGGAGCAAACCGCTGCCCTCTCCAGTCTTCTTGCTTGTTCCCAGGTACTTGGGTGGCAAGTGAGCGTATTGCAACCTAAAAGCAGAGGTGAGTGACTGGGGTGTGAGAGAGCGGCCTTGGCAAGGGAGCTGTGTCACGTCCTAGAAGGGAGTCTACAGGTTTTCCATGGTATCTCCAAAAAAGTCCATCTGCTCATCTGTGTGGTACCTCCAGCCTTGGCTTCCCCCAGCCTGTAGTACTTCTGTTACTTTTTTGTGCTTCACACGCTGTTTTGTTTCTCCTCCCTGCACCCCTCCCCGTCCCCCAGAGACCAGCCGTGCCAGGAACGTTTGGTCCCTTGCGCGGGTCGGATCCCACGAAGCTGTACGGCTCTCCGCGAGTGCCTGAGCCCCATCCTGGAGACCCGGTCCAGCAGCACCAGCACTTTGCCATGCAGGTAAGGAACGCTGCAGCACCCCAGGACCCACAGGTGTGACAGCTCTCACTGAGACCCACCTCATGTCTCTCTCTCTCCCTGCCTCCTCCGCAGCCGGCTGTGGGACTGAGCGAGCACCGCGGGCACCGGCTGGCCACTCCGGAGAAGCAGGCGTGCGCGGGACCCACCCACGTCTCCGGCCTCGGCCCCCGACCGGGCACACTGCAGCTGGGAAGGGTCAGTGGCCCCCCGCCCGATGCCGTCTACCCGCCAGCCCAGTTCCAGCAGGGCTTCCTCCCGCCCAGGCACAACGGGCCCCCGGTGAGGCCGCCGGAGGGCTCGGAGGTCCCCCCGGGGCACATGTACCGGCCCTACAAGTACCTGAACCGCGCACACCCAGCCCTGTGGAATGGCAGCCATGGCCCCGCCGGCCAGGCTGCCATGGGGCCGGAGGAGAAGGCGCCCATGGGGCCAGGGCCCTCACTCCAGCCACGTGCCCTGGGTCATATGATGGACCCCAGGGCCATGAGGCCGCCGCTGCCTCCCAGCCAGTGGACAGAGCAATCAAATTTCCTACCTCATGGGGTGCCTCCCTCAGGGTATATCCGACCGCCCGGGAAAGCCGCCAGCCAGAGGATGCCACAGCCACCAGCCGCTCTGTTTGGGGCACCTCCTCAGGTTCAGAGAGGGTGCCAGGGCGGGGACTCCATGATGGACAGCCCGGAGATGATCGCCATGCAGCAGCTCTCCTCCCGCGTGTGCCCACCGGGAGTGCCTTACCACCCTCGCCAGCCGCCCCCGCCGCACCTCCCCGGACCCTTCCCCCAGCTGGCCCACGCGGCCTCCGCCGCCGGCGTGCAGCCCCCAAAACCTGTCGTGGGAAACGGGAGCTCGCAAGATCCAACCGGGCAGACCATGGAGATGGAGAGCAACCAAGGTAAACCCTTGAGTGCCCACTGGTATTGTTGACTTTCGCTGCCTGCACCTCCCAGAAAATAATTCAAATTTTGATTAAATACTTGGGAGGGATGCAGCTTTTACATGTGTTTTTATTTTTTTTATATAAATTGGAATACGTTTTCTAATCCATCCATCACTTAGATTTTTCTAGGCTGTTTTGTTTCACTGTAGCCTGCCAGAAGTCCTCTCTGTCCCAGCTATACCTGCAAGTTATCAGTTTGCCATGGGGTACGAATGCAAAGCATAGGCTGCGATGCTTTTAGAGCTCACTTGGAGTTAATATAAAAATGGGATCTGCAGAGAGTTAGGAGATGTTGTATGAAATCACTTACATATATAAGGAGTATATATTAAATATACTCCTTTAAGTGTACATCAGTATGACTTCTTTTCTGAAATGCACATCTGCTTTGTGAGCTCTGAACATCACAAAATCTTCGCACAACAGGACTGCCCAAAAGCCCCTGAGCAGCTGTATCGGTTCATGTGGGATGGCAGTGTGTCGTGTGTGCCCTCACAAGTTTCTTTCCAGTTGAATTTCATCTGTTCTATCTAGTAAACTACAGATTAAAAAAAGAAAAAAAACCCCAACCTTAAAAATAAAACCTAAAGTAGAGATCAAAATAACGCAGAGATCAAAAAAATTTTTTTTTCATTAATTCTAGCTGGTAAACTAGAGATCAAAACCCTTGTATCTTTTATCAATCCCTTGTGTGCCTTGCACTAAGAGGAAACTCTTTCCTTGTGTGGCATTGCTTAAAAGTTATCATCATAATTTAACTTGCTGGATATAGAACAGAGACCAGGGAAGGACGCTGAGTGATTGCAGGACAGAGTACTCTCATCTTCAAACCACAGTTGGTTAAAATATGGCTGCGATCAGCTCTGCAGCATCTTGGTGTGCAGCAGCGCTTCTGCTCATGCTGTGGGCAAATGGCGTTTGTGGAGGGTGGGTTTAAATTTGGTATTAGGGAGAAATTCTTTACTGTGAGGCTGGTGAGGCACTGGCACAGGTTACCCAGAGAAGCTGTGGATGCCCCATCCCTGGAAGTGTTCAAGACCAGGCTGGATGAGACTTTGAGCAACGTGGTCTGTTGGGAGGTGTCCCTGCCCATGGCAGGGGGGTTGGAACTAAATGGCCTCTAAGATCCCTTCCAACCCAAACCATTTTATGATTCTGTGACCAGAAGGGGCAAGGCAGCATGAAATCAAAGTGCTGTTACTCTGACTTCTTATCTTGCTGTCATGTGGACCCCACTGTGGTATTTCCCAACTCTTGCCTCTCCTTTAGGCAGCCTCTGCACCCCGGTGTGTCAGACCAAACGCACATGCCATGTTACTCCAGTGGAGGTGTGACTTAGCAGTGGCTTGCAAACTGCAGAGCGTCTGTGTCATGAGGGTTCAGCCCATGTGTGCCATCTTTCCAAGAGTGGTGCAAACCTCATGAGTAGTTTTCAAAAGATCTCTTTCACAAGGAGCAGCTACTAAAGGTTACCCAAATTTGAAAAAAAAAATGCACTTCAGAATTGCTAAAAATCTCTGAAGGAAAAACTGTGTTATGGGTGTGGAAGGAAGGCTGCAGCCCCAGAGAAGAGCACTTGTGCTGATACCATGCTCCAACAGCCCTTTAGAGAGGTTTGTGTGGACAACAGGACATTGTAGGCTTTGGAGTAGTGACAGTGGAAGGACCTGCACGGCTTTAGAAAGTCAGTCCTTTTTCTCTTTTATTTGCATAAAAGTGGAATGCTTTCTCCATCCAGTTGTTAGGGACTTGTTTGGCAGAGCTGCCCAGCAACTTTGGGTCAGCAATCAAAGAGGTTTGGTAGATCTGGTTAACCTGGCAGGAATTACTCTTTGGCATGTGTGTTTTGGGTGAGCATGAGCAGGCATGTGTATGTGTTAGGCGGAGAGGGACGATTTCCAGTTAGACCAGTGTGTGACTTTCTTCTCTCTCTTTCAGTGGAGACACCAGCAGGCATGGACGAGAAGGCTCAGTGCATCAGCATTCCCGACGGGGCCTATGCCAAACTCCTACCTCATCCCAAGCCCCCACTGCCCATGGAGTGCGCCAGGCGCGCCTTGCCCCCGGATGGGGAGGCAGATGGCTCTGGTGTGAAGGGCGAGCTGAAGGCAGGGCAGAGCAAAGGTGCATGGTCGGCAGAGAGCGGCTACACCGGCGACCCGGGCTGCGTGAGGGACCTGGTGCCCGCCTCCGAAAGAGGGGGTCCCCTGCCTCAGAACGGGGCGGCGGGCGAGGGGCCGGCAGCCGGCACCGAGGGGAAGGGACTGGCTGCCAACCTGCTGGAGAAGCCCCTCTGTGGTGGGGGCAAGACTCTGCCTGAAGCAGCCGTGCCTTGCATGGGGCAGGGCACCGGCCTTCCTGGCGTGGATGCCGGCTCCATGGGGGCCACCCCCAACCAGTATCACCCTCTGTACATGCCTGGTCTGGAATACCCGAATTCGGCTGGACGGTACCACATCAACCCAGGCCTGCAGGGTTTTGGCCCGGTGATGGGAGGGAAGCCACCTCCTCCTGCCTCCCACCCCCAGCATTTTCCCCCACGGGGTTTCCAGCCGAGCAGCACCCACCCCGGTGTCTTCCCGCGGTACCGGCCCCCCCAGGGAATGCCGTATCCTTACCAGCCACAGCCTCAACCTTCCTACCACCACTACCAGCGACCGCCCTACTACGCCTGCCCACAGGGATATTCGGACTGGCAGAGGCCTCTCCACCCCCAGGCCAGCCCCAGCGGGCATCCCAGTGCCCACCCGCCCCTGGCCAGAGCCCCGTTCCCAGAGCGGGGGTCCGCGGGCGGCCTGCAGGGCTGCGAGGCACTGAGCGCCGCCCTGGCCTCTCCCAACCGCATGGACGTAGCAAGTGCCAAAGAGGTTTCTCCAAGTGACGGGCAGGATCTGGGGCCTGAAGATGAGAAGTCCGAGGAGTCCCAGGAAAGACCAGAGAGTCCCAAAGAGTTTCTTGATTTGGACAACCACAATGCAGCCACAAAGAGGCAAAGCTCGGTGGCAGCGGGGGAGTTCCTCTACGGAGCACCCCCACCCCACCTGAGTGCAGGGATGGGGTTTGGCCCGTCGGCTTTCCCTCCCCATGGGGTAATGCTACAAACTGGCTCTCCTTATGGATCCCGACATCCTGCCAGTCACTTCCAGCCCAGGACGTATGGATCGCCCATGAATGCCCACCCGTCTCACCATCCAGCCTCCAACCAGGCCAACGGCCTCTCTCAGGAGGGCCCCCTGTACCGCTGCCGAGAAGAGAACATGGGTCACTTTCAGGCCTTACTGATGGAGCAGAGAGGCAGTGGAGGTGGCATGGGGGGGCCGCCCCAGGACTTGTATAGACCCTCGGGGTAAGACTGTGTTTTCTGCGAGAAGGCAAGGTGGGAGGGGGGTGTGATGCCTGGGTGACAGTCACTGTTGGATATCCTTGAAAGGATGTGGCTTGAAGTCAGAGGAAATTGCAAATGAAGTCTAAAGTCTAACAGGTGGCTCAGATCCTTGGAGTAAGAGCTCTCCTAAGATGGAGAGAGAGTCTCAATGCATCTCCTTAAAACAATCATGGAGAGCCTGTTAGCCTGCCCCATCCATCCTCCCATCAGTACTTTGTTTCATCTAACAGTGTTTTGTTAATGTGTAATTCAGGGTTGTGCATCTCTTAGTCAAATGTACTCTTGCCATTTTCTTTGCAAGTGTTTTATTTCATCTTGCTTATAGTGGGGCAGAGTAGCTGACTAAATTGGAAGTTGGCCTCTTGTTACGAACTCCTTTAATGCTGCCTTCTTTTTCCCCTCCTCTTGATTCACTCCTCCTCTCTATGTCAAATTTCCCTCACAGAAAGTTGCTTCTCACTGAGACTGTGCATATCACCTTTTTTTCCCAAGTGGAAAATTCTGCTTCTCAAAAAATTGCCTGTTCAGTTTTTACTGTTCAATTGTTACTGTTTTATCCTCGTCACAGCATGACAGTCCTTCCTTCTTCTAGTATTCAGGGAACTTGGATTACAGCTAAGCCTTTGGGGGGAGTAGCATGGATTAAGGGTTGTGTTTTGGGGGGAAACCAGACAGAGGAATACACAAGACTGCATGCTTGTATGCTAATGTTGTATGTATGCATTCAATGAAGTAGTTTGAACCAAGAGTAGGGATTTGCTCCTGATATTCATGTGCTAAAATTCTCTCCATTCAACCTGACTCCAGAATGCAAATGCATCAGGCTCAAGTTCCCTTCCCGAAGATGCCTACAGCAACAATGTCCCGGGAAGATTTGACATCACAAAAACCATCAGTGCTGCCTCTGGATCAAGTAAGGACTGCTAGAGAGAGCAGAGCTGAAATGCAAGTCCTTCTCTTCCCACTGGTTAAAGGAGTAAAGTGTTTGATTAGAGTGGGAGGAACTGGAGGAAGCTGGGAAATTAACTACTGCTATGCAAAGGAGTTGAGAATGTCTCTAAAGTCTTAGCTGACTGCAAAACATAACCTAGGCAGATTGATAGTGCTATCTTTGAACTGGTTGCATGCAATCATGAGGTCACTCCTTTCTGAAGCTTCCAGTTAAAGCTTCCAACCCTTGTTCTTCCTCTTTCAGAGCTAGTCCGAGGAAGGAAGGACCTCATGAAGACGAAAGCCACACATGATTTGGACACCCAGGAGGAGGGGCAGGCCTTCCTCCCACCCTCCCCTCGCCCGAGCAGCATGTAGCTTCCTGGGTCTGTGGAACATGGTGCCCTGACGGCTTTTGTGTTGGAAACCCGGGGCGGTGCTGGGCCCCAGCCAGCCGAGCAGCTGGCTCTCTACCACAGGGCAAGCACCGCAAAACTAGTGGCTTTCCGTGACCGGAGACTGCGTCTCATTCAGGGTTTGGGGGAATTTTCGGGTGGGGAGGGCGGGGGTGGGGGCAGAAACTTTCATTGACTGCTAAACTCAGGTATATTTTTCAGGGTGGAAGAGGACGATGATGAAATTTTACTTGTAGTATTAACGTGTGTGTTTTGGAGCTGGATCCAGTTTACAGAATTTAACCTGTTGCCTTTCTAAATAAATTTCTGTTGTTGGTGAATGTATTGTACATAATGGGGGAGGGGGTGGGCCCAGCTTGTAGTGGGCTTAGCACTGGAGGAATCGTTAACTGTTTACAATCATATCACACTAAAATCTTTCAGGATAGGGTGAGGGTTCAGGGGGGACCGGGGAGAGGCGAGGGAATGTGTGATGGATGACTTGCTGTCCTCCTTCCTGTCCTCTGCAACCAAGACATGACCCGACAGTTGGTTGACTTAATAGCATGAATTGCTCAGGAGTATAACATGTCCTCCACTTTCTCTTGCCTTCTTCCTCCTTCCCTTCTCACCCCCATCTCCACTCCTCTGGATCCAGGGCCTGAGTGCACTTCCAGCTCCTGTCATCATGGGGGAACAAGGAAACCAGGACCAGGAACTGAAACCAGGGCAGGACACTCATGGCATTGTCTCTTCTGCTAGTACAGGACCCTTCTCCCTGCCTTTTTCTGATAGGAGAAATGTGTGCTCTAGGAAACAGAAAATGGCATAACTGGTCATCTTAAGACTTATTTTGGTGAAACCAGCACAGCTGTGGGTGCAGCAGCACCCATCCAGTAAAACAAACTTTGTGCAAATCTGTACTGCCCTGCTGCTTGAGGAGAGGAGCCAAGTCCCCACCTTTGTTTCTCTGACCCTGGGCTATATTCACTTCTTAGCAGCAGCAAAGCAGAAAGTACCACAGGCTTCCTGACCACTCTTGCTTGGTAAGGAGGAGGAGCAAGAGGCTGCCTTGGGGGAATGGTAGGATTACTGCAGTGTGAGCCATTTGTTGGCCTGTGGAGTTGGATTTGGCATTCACAAGTTGCAGGTGAATCAGAAAGCACTGGTTCAAAGTCAGGTGTTTGGGTGGCACAGCTCAGGGGCTGGGGGACAGGAGGGCTGCGTGCTTGAGTTGAGGTGGTTTTTTTTGTCTTCATTGATGACGTAGCAGCAGGTCCTACAGGACTAGTGGCAGCTTCCCTGTTCACAGTCTGCAGGGGCTCTTCTCAGTACTGTACTATGGAACCTCTGTGTGCCAGCATCTTGACAACCACTGGTGTTCAAGGGAGTTCGGCAGGACTCCCATCTGCATTTATTCACATCTTAAAGCTAACAGGCACACACGGTTGGCTGTTCTTGGGGGAGTTGGGGAGTTGTTACTCTACGAGGCTGGGCAGCAAGACTTGCTGGGACCATAACCTGGTTGTACTGGGGTGGGGACAGTGGTGCAGTTTACAGGAGGATGTGCCAGTGTGTCAGATAGAGTATGCTAGCAAGAGCACAAGCGGCAGCAGAAGGAGGACAGAGCAGCATGCCCTTTAGTCTGTGGTACCAGCATGGGGAGGGACTTTGTCTCCTGGTTTCTGGAGAATTTTTCTGGCTGCTTTCTTGTCTTGGATGGTGCCATCACCTGAATCTTTAGCTGGATTTAACATCTGTGACTGCACCACCTTTGTCCCACTTCGTGTAGATCTACCATGTGCTGGCAAAGCTGTTCAAGCAAATGGCAAGTAGCATCTGAGTGAGTCATTACTCCTTCTGTCCTAAGCTTTTGGAAGCACACAAAGCCTAAAAGATGAGAAATTACCCTTTCCTGAAATAGTTAGAACATAGAAGGACTGCTGTGTTAGTGCCCTCTTACCAATGAGCCTCACTGCTCTGTTGCTGCAGTACTTTTGCCTCTGATGAGCTGTGTAAGGCCAAGGCATTTTCCAAGCCTAACAGGAGTTAAAATTCATCTTACAGCTGCATTTCTCACCCACTGCTGCAGCCAGCCTGTGAACTGTAGCTGCTGGCTGCTTAGGCCAGTGAGTTGCCTGGGACAGCTGGTTCCTCTGCAAAGGAAGATGTCGGTGTAATGTGAATTACTTACAATATCTATCTATAGATGCCATTACATTAGAAAAAGGAAGGTGATTTTTTGGTGTGGTTTTTCTTTTCAGTTGCGTTCATCTGTCAGGGAGCAGTTGTCACTGGTGGATTGATATGAACTGGAATAGATGATCCTAAAGGTTGTCCTTTGACTGAGAAGTGCTCTCCCCAGCCAAGAACATTATGCTATGGCTCTTCTGAATTTGTCCCGTATCTGAGGGTTTGCTGCTGGCTCTTCAGCTGGTAGTTGGTTTTCAGAGGTGCCCCAGCTGCTCCAAAGGCAGCTCTTAGTCCTTCACTGAAAGGAGATACTGAAGCAGTGATAGGTATTTATAAAAAACTGTGCAAGTAGAACTGCTCTTAAAGACAATAAACCTGGGACAAACAAGAACACAGTTGCTTCTCCTTGTAAAATAATCTTGGGTTCACTGTACATTTAAAAGCAGATAAATGGTAAAATATAACTTGTAGCAAAGTATTCAAAACTCTAGAAATGTGAATGTAGATCCTGCAAACAATCCCTGCCATACTTCAGCCTGTGTCCTCTGTATCACAGACAGCCACCCAAATATTTGAAGTGCCTTTCATTCAGCTCATTGTGAACGTTGTGGAACAGGAGGGTTTTAGAAGCTGTAAAAAGTCCCCAAGCAAGCTGAAGCACACTTCAGCTGGAACTGGCACTGAAAACATGGTTCTAGTGGTCACAGGGTCTAGATGAGTACCAAGCCCAGGCCAAAACAGGGGCTGAACAAGAAAGGCAAGAATTGCTTGTGGTCTGCCTGGAGAGCACAGTGGAGTGTTAGACAGTGATAGATACCCCGAGGAACCTGTATGGAGTGTGCAACAGGAAGATATTTTCCCTTACCTGACATAATGCTAGTCTGGGGGAAAGATTTGTCTTGCAGGTGGTAGACAAAAGAGAGTAGTGAAGCTGTCTCCTCCTGGGAGGGTTTCTAGGTAAATGGCTTTTGATGTAGTCAGTAATTCTTATTAAAGAGACTAACAAGCTGCTGTTGTGAGGACAGATGGTTTCTATTAGAAAAGTACTAATATAGCATAGGGGGAACAATGGCTGGGCAACAGGGATAGGGCTATCCTGAGGACAGGACATGCTGAGATGGAGAGCTGGTTGTGGAACCTTAGCTCAGAATCTCCAGACTTTCAAATGCTTTCTTCGTAAGGGGGGCTTTGGGGGTTTTCCTATTATGATGTCTAGGGAACCCCCCCCCAAAATTAGAGCTCTATTTTGCTAGGCACAATCAGCAAATCACAGAAAACTGGCACCCCTCAGAGGGCACAGGGCTCTGAAGAGAGTTGTGGGGTGGAACACGAGTGGAAATGTACGGGGAGGAGCAGATAATGTGAATTTTGTAGTTTATCCCAAGCCATACTGCACAGGGCTGCTTTGTAGATATTGTGAAAGAGACAGGTTTGAGGGATTTAGGAGAGAGTAAAATGGCAGCTCTTTATATACAGAGTGGTGTTTTTTGCCATGAGTTGGCATGCAGTGCAGGAGAAGTGCAGCTGCATTTTAAAATAACCTGGCTTTTGAGTGCCATACTTGTGTCACTGTCTTAAATAATATTTTAACACAATAGAGAGAAATTCTAGTCACTGGTTGGAAGCCCTCTGTCTCAGCCCCCAGCATTGTTGTTTCACAATATATTACCAGTTGGTCCTTTCTCAGAAAGCATCCTGAGCTGGTGACTTTGCAAAGTTTCCTGTAGCTATTACTTTTTCCATACAGAGGATGTATTTTGCTATAATTAGGGATTTCATGTTAAACAAGACTATATAATACACAGAACAAAGATGATGTTGGCCATGCTGAAGCATGACAAAAATTTCCAATATTCTCAGAAGAGCTTTGTATGCCACTCTGGCTTTTTAGCATCTCGCTCTCCCCACCACCTTGTCCTCTGTAAGTGGTGTGTGGTATTCCCAAGCTCCCAAGATGTCAAGTTGCTTTTGCAAAGGCTGCTTTATAAACTGCCCCAGGGACTCTGAAGCTTTGGACGTCTTAGAGTAGGACAGGCCCAGGCAATTCAACTAGAAGGGCAGTCACTGAGGCTTCACAGTGACTTTTAGCTGTGTTTAGCAGGAGTTTGCAGTCTGTAAATTCCATGGTGTATCCCACCAAACCACTCAGTAGCAATCCAAGGCACCAGCCTGCAATGAAGAGGACAAAAGGGGAAAGTAAATTTGAGGCTTCAAGGCCCAACTGGTTGGATTTGTGACTTTAAAGTACATGGAGACACTTTTCTTGGAAGAGCTTCTGATTCTTTGTTGTCTGCCAAATGCCTTTCCCATGCAGACTTTCCGAAGCCAATCGTCTGTGTATATTTTTGTAAGTGTGGTTTCTCGGGGTCTTGGAGAGCTATCAGCTTCTTGATGTCTTATCTGAAAGCTAGTCACAGAGGCTCTTTCATTCTGCTGATTGAGGCAGCTCTCCTGAAGCTTCTCACCCCAACACTTCTCCATTTAAAATGAAAGTATAATTAGAAAACAACCTCCCTTTATTTCCTCCACTGATCTCTGTCAGGCTTTTGTGCATCTCTGTGTTCAACTAGGGCTGTTTCTTTGTTCTTGATGGCTTTGTTCTGCTTTCTTTTTCCAAGAAGACTGTGTTGCTGTATGAACTGTGGAATTTCAGAGAAGGTGCTGAACTGAGTGACAAAGAAGTGTCATCCCAAGGGGTGGCTTGGAGAAGAGCAGCAGGGGAATTCGTGACAGTGTAGTTGCTCCTGGTTCCCCTCACTGCAGAGCAACCACACAACTGGGCCTGCACTTAATCAGGGCAACCCCTTAAAAAGTTTTTACTGCAGTGCATCGGTGGCAGAGAAGTTTGCTCCTGCAGAATTCCTGTTTTGCCTTGAGTCGGGTGCTGGCTGTTGGAGAGCAGGTGTGTGGGAGCCGTATCCTTTCCGTAAGGCCAAGATTGAGATAGCAGGCTGGGAAAGTGGGGTTGCAGCTGCAGGCCATGTGACAAGCTTTAAGAGCGTGTGCTCATTGTAGCCGAGAAAGCATCTCAAACGTTGACCTTCCAGCCTTTCCCCATCTGTACCTGTTTAACATACAGATGGGGGTGAGCACACTGGGGCTTGGCAGGACCCCTGCCGCCCATGCGGAAGGAAAACGCTTTTAACCGGCACATAATGAACTGCGCGCTCCGGTTTTCACTCCCTGCCTGCTGCCCACCTCCCGCTCTGAAAAAGAGCTGGGGAGGGACCCACTTCCAGCTGTCTCCCCGTAGGAGCTCCTGGGGATGACAAGCGCAAGGCTCAGTCCACCCCTAGGCAAGGAGGTTCAGGACAGAGGTTTTATTTGAAACTAGATGGTAACATCCAAGCGTACCTTTGAAGCAGAGGTTGTAGTGAGCTGTGTGGTGCTGTTCTCTTTTTGGTGACTGTCCTGCCTCGGCTCACATGCAGGATTTGAGAGACCATGGAGCGTTTTGTAGATTTAACACTGCTGGTCTGGCATTGACTGAGGGCTCTTTTCCTTCATTTGCAGCAGTGGCCTAGATTTCTTTTGGCGAAGGTCTTCCTCTTTTTGAAGCATGGATATCAAAGTAGACTGTGCATCCAGGAGAGAGCAAGGGCTATGTCCACCAGTGGAAGAGGGGACAAAGGATTAATTAGGGCTGAGGCTTAACTGAGATTTTCACTAACTCTGGCAAGCCCCTCTGTCCTTTGCCCCTTTTATTTGGAAATACTTGGCTCACTTAGCAGAAGGGCAGTAAGTGGAATATCTTCTAAATAAAAGTGGAACTGGCTCTGTGTGGGTAAAATTCCCTTGTTGCGAACAAAGTTGGACCAGACAGCCATAAAGGACTCCTTTGGGCATCAAATGATGAAGAGGCACACAGACACCTGGTGCCCTCAAACATTTTGGAGCATGGCAGAGGAGTGATCTCCCTTTCTGAAGCCAGCCAGGCAGCTACAGGAGCTCAGGCCTCAACTTCTAGTCTGAAAAGTCCTCTGATCCCCTTTTGTGTCATATGCCAACACTTTCCCTCTCCTTGCTTCCTAGCTTTCAAGTTCCTTTCCCTCTGCTCGCTTCGCTGCAGTCGGTTGCTGTCAAGTGCAGAGATGAAGGCTCACTGCCCACGCGAGCACAAGGGCAGAAGGTTGAACTTGCCAGCTGTCTCCTCTGCACAGGCATACAGACAGCAGGTGGGGAGAACACATTTACTCTCCTCATGAAATTAAGGTGTCCTCAGTGGCTCACGAGTGTTCTCTCGTGTGCCCCTGGGGTTTGCCACCCTGGCACAGCGACGCCTGTCCCTCTGCCAGCACAAGGATTTGCTCCTGGTCCCTCTGCAGGGTTCCAACACATGGTCCTGGCGTGTCTACTTCCAAGGGGGTTTAGATTAAAAATATATACTCTGTACAACTGTGAAAACTCTTGTCTCTCTTCCATGATCTGTCAATGAACATTGCTGCCTGATCTTTTTCCAAGCAATAATAATGTGCAGCAGTGCAACTTTGATGTTCCCACGCTGTTTCACGGAGTGGATGGCTATGGGAACACGCTGCCGGGCTTCACAGTTTCAATGGGAAGCAAGATGCTTTCTGTGGCCCTGCATTTTATCTGTGCCACATTCCTGCTTTCCCAGAGACTGGCGGGTTGATTTAGGTGGCCCTGAGAGAGCTGGTTGCTGCTTCTGTGTTTGGGAAGGCAGAAAGAGGAGGGAGCAAGTTGGTAAAGCTGAGCCTCATCCACAAAGCAGAGCACATGTAAGAGGGGTTGCTTGTTGCTACCATGGAGCAAGGGGTGGGTGGACCACTGATTTAATGCCTCTGGGGGAGGAGAGTGACCCAGTGCTGCTTCACTTGGCATTGATGGGGGAGGCAGGAGAGCCGATGCCACTATGTCCATTCATTTTTCTGAAGTTGGGTAACATTGGTTTTTTGGGTTTTTTTGTATTATTGTAAGTTTGTAAAGAATGTAATCTGTCTGTCGGGGGCACAAGGAGAAAACGGGGGCCTTTCTTTTTTTTGGGTGAGGCTGTTCTTATGTTGCTGTGTTTTTTGTTGTTGGGCAGGGAGGGGTCTAAGAGGCCATGGGGCAAAAGCCTGGCCCTTGTCAACTGCTTGCAACTGTCCCAGGGCGACGGGAGGGTGAGCTGATGCTGCAGCAGAGACCTCCCACACCAAACTGTGAAAACGACCTCTGCCTGTGTCCCTCTGTGGGGGAATCTGACCTGCGTGGGGTTCTGCACTGGCACGCCTTGCTGGGGGTGGGATGTAACATTCAAGGACTGGTCTTGCTTGTCTTTGACTCAAGTAGAAACTGGGCTGGGCAGCTGCCCGTGCTGTTTATGGAAGGCTGGATTTAATAGCCTGAGTTTCTCAGTGCAAGAAGGAGTTCATGCTGGAGCTGCTTGCCCCAGCACTTCTTTCCCCAGCAGGAGCTCAGGTGCTGCACCTCTCCCATCACCTGCTGCCCAGGAGCCCTGGTTCTCACCCCTGCCTCCCTCCCCATCCCGTAGAGCACAGTGTCAGGGATCCTCTTCTCTCTCCTGCTGCTGCAAAGTTGTGTGAACTTTCCTGGTCAATACTGGAAAGGGGAATGCTATTTATTTTTATATTGTGTATATTTTGTCTTGGTCTGCTGATTACCTTTGTTCCCCAAGAGCGACAGTTACCTCAATAGTTAGTTTAATACTGTGTGTTGGGTAATTTTTTTAAAGAACTTTTTTAAAATCTTGATCCTTGGAGGTCTGTAGATTTTATTTCCATATAAATTGGTTATTTTGTATAAAGTACATTCTTAAAATAGCAATCACCCTTGCCGTATGTGTGTTTTCTTGTCTCCTGGATGGTCTCCCTCTTCCTTTGTGAGGGGAAGCGGATGGGGGTGGGATGGTAACACAGAGGGCTTTTTTCAGAGACAAAGCCCTGAACTGCAGTCAGACACATTTGTACCACCTGAAATCCATTTACAAGAGAGCACCTGGAAAGCTAATTGGGATCATTTCCCGTTCTGAAGCACAGCTGTCTGCCTGTGAACAACCCAGTTGTGGAAATGCGATGGTGTCACTGCTTTCCCTCCGAAGTCCCTGGTGGGCTGTGGGTTTTCCTGCAGCCCAGGTGTGCTGGAAAGCCTGCCTCTCTCCCCAAAACACCACGTGGCTTTGGGGTGCAGGTAGTCCGGTCCCCCACACTTGTGTGAAGCCTCTGTGCTTTAAAAGCAGTGCCTGCCCTTGAGTAAAGCCCATAGAGCGGTGCTGCTGCGAAGGAGGAACTGGTGTAGCCTATGTGGTTCCCCTTTGTGCTGCTTTAATGCTGAGCAGCACAGGGTATGAGCCTCCCCCTCGGGGGCTGTTGGAGGAATGAGAAGCCTTTCAAGCTCATGCACGGTGGTCCAAATCCATATTGGACCCAAAAGGTCACTTGCCATTTGCTGTTTATTAAATCTCTCATGTGAGATGGGGCAGGGGCTGCAGCCCTCCCTGCAGAGAGGCGTTTAAAGGTAACTTGGCTCTCTCACAGGGGTTTCGGCATCAAAACCAGGAACTGGCTGTACTGTTTTCGTGCTGGAAGGTGCCAGCAGTAGGTGCATGGAGGCAGCTTGCACTTGGCCCTTGCTCAGCTGGTCCCTGAATAAATAACTTGCTCGGTTCTGCTGATTCAGCAGCTTTGCATCAGGACAAAATCAAAGCAATGATCCTTAAAAGCTGGTGCCAGCAAAAGAGGGCATGGGGGGATGAGCAGCAGGAGGCTGGGGGTATGAAGGCTCCCGGGTGCACACTGCAGGCCCCTTCCCTTTCCTCTACAGCTCCCTCTGTCTCCTCCAGGGCTGGTAACAGACACATCTCCTGCCGAAACAGCTTTGCAGCTGCAGCCTGCTCACTCCATGGGCTCCATGTGCCCCTCCTGCCAGAGCCTCCCTGGGGCTGGGGCTGCTCCCAAGCCCAGCAAGCTCTCTCCCATGCTCTCAGTACCAAAGCTGCCTCTGCAAAGTGATGCTCACGAAATGTTTGTCCCTGACACGGGACCCCACACTTGCTGACCAAACCAGGGGCCTCATCCTGTCCTCACAGCTCCCCTTTGTGTGCCCTAAGCAGCAGAGTTCATCCCCTGAGGCTGTCAGCATTTTCCAAAGATAAGTGAGCTGCGGAGAGCTCAGACCACAGGCAGGCTTTGCTGAAGTTGATGGATGATGGATTTTTGGGGGATACCTAGTGATGGGGGAAGAACCAGAGTGCCTTTGCACCCATCAATGGTTTGTTGTTTTCTAGTGTCCCAGACTAAATCCTCAGGGCATCCCTGCCCCGGGGCCTCACCTCCATGGCTGGGTCTGAGAGTGACTTATCCTTCCACATACTTGCATATTTTATGCAAGAAGCTCCCAGGAGCAAGAACAAGTGTGAGCACATTCCCGTCCTGGGCACTGGGAGGAGCCTGAAATGTGATGACATCTTGAGTACCCCAAACCCACCAGCTGGGTGTCAGAGCTGCCTGCCCCTGCTGCCCAGGGCAAACATCCCAGCTGGGCACTTCCCCAGCATGGCTGCAGCTCCAGGCCCTGCAAAGGCTGTCCGAGGAATTTGGCTCCCTGTTCCTGGGGAGGATGAAGGGCTGCTCTCTGTCACATAACCCCCTTCCCCCTCTCCCCTCTGCAGGAGCCAGAGTTCGGGGTGACGAGAGCAAGCTGTCCAATTTAGGAAGGGGAGGAATTTGGTCGCCCTATCAGTCCCAGGAAGTGTTTGGGTCAGAGGGGATTGGCACGGGAAGATTTTTAATCCTGGGGCTAAGCCAGCACTGAGTGGAGTCAGCACTAATTGGAACCAGTCCTGGGGAAGGGGCAGCTTTTAGAGCTGCCTTGCAGTCCAGGCAAAGACAAAGCTTATCTGTGCTATAGGAAATGCCACATCCTAACTTTGACGAGATGCTATCATGAGGGTAACAGGCCATGAGGGTAACAGGCAGCATCAGACTAAGCCACGAATCCCCCTATTTTTTTTGCCTTTCTTTCTACTTTCTGCTGTCCACAATTCTTGATTCTTCTCCTCTTTCCTTACCTCCATGGGTTGGCAAAGCTACCCCTACCCCCTTGCTCAGAGTGAGCTTTCCTGAGCTCTTAGACTGAGGCTTTAAACTCTTGACTTTCCCTCTAGCCTCCTTCTCCCAGAGAGCAGGGATGCTTCCCAAACCCAGATTTTTTGTGCAGCCATTTCAAAGCAACTCAGTACTTCATGTAGGCTTGATTTAGGGATGGATTGGATGAACCAGTTTCAACAGGGACTTGTTTAGTGCCCAGTTTGGATGTGGAAATAAATGGCAGCCCTTCATATCCCCCACCCTGTTATGGGGTAGCCCCTGGGGAGAACTCAGACTCCAGGCAGGCTTTGCTAAATTTGATGGATGATGCATCTTTGGGGGTTACCTAGTGGTGGGGGAAGCCCCAGAGTGCCTTTGCATCTGTCAATGGTTTGTTGTTTTCTTTTTTTTTTTTTTTTGGAAGGGGATGGTTGGCTTTATATATTTCCCCCCAAAAATAAAGAATCTTGCAGGTAAAGTTCCCATCTTGAATTTTCCTATTAATCACAACTTTAGCATGGGAGACACTACCTTGCACAGAAAGGCAGGACTAAGGCATTTGGGGTAGCTCAGGAAGACTCAATTTTGGGCTGAAACAATTTCTAATGTTTGCTTATAAGTATTAGGAAAAATATATGCACTCATAAATTCGAAATTCTGATTTATGTCCCACATTGGGATGTAAAATGCAAATTCTCCAAGCAGCCGGGGGTCTTTGGAGGGGTGGGACCCTGCTGTATCTCCTCCAGCCCTCAAAGCTGCTGCAGTTTTTGTTTGGTGGAGAAATCATGGGCACAGGAAGGCAAAGCAAAGCCATTTGCCTGGTGGGGCAGCTGGGAACAGACCCGAACCCCTTGCTCCCAGCCATAAGCTCAGTCTGAGGTGCAGTGTTGGTGCCTGCATATTTATACACACACATAATGAATGTCAGGGTCTCCCAGGCACTAACAGAAAAATGTAAACCTGTTCTGGACCCTAACAAGAGCCCTAAAGGCTGGTCCCCAGATGAGAACCCCCAAGGGCCCCGTATTTGCCCAGCAGCAAAGAGACAAGAGCGGCTTTTCTGGAGGAAGGGGAGGAGGTGGCAAGGGGCAGGGGCAGGGGCTTGCCATGGGCCCGGAGCAGCGTTTCAGGGCTGCCCCCTCCTCCCTCTGTCGGCTCCCGGAGGCCACATGTTCCCTGGCCACTTTTTAAAATTCCTTTCCCAAAGAGGTTGCCGGGGTGGAGAGATCATAAAAAGTTCACCCCCTTGTCACGAGTGCACCCGTTCTTCCGGGGCCGGTGGGCAAAAGTTGTTTGCAATTTCCTCGGGCCGTGACCTTTGTTTTGACCGTGATGGAGGAAGATTGCAATCCATCAAACCTCTGCCTGACCCACGCTGAGGATGGGGGAGAGGGCTGCCTCTGGCTGGCAAAGGAGGGAGTGCCTTTACAAGGGGCAGGGGGCACAAGGACATTGCTCTGCCCCTCGGGTTTGGTCAAGAGGCAGGGGGGTTGCCAGCTGGCTCAGCTGGGAGCTCAGACTTCCTGATGTGGGATTCACTGAGGGAAACTTCACCGTGTGTGCTACACGATACGCTCCTGCCAGAGAGATTTGAGAGAGTTTGCTTTAATTTTTTTTTCCCAAGAGGGATGCTGGATTGCAATTTGCTGCATCAGTAAAGTGGGGAAGGATGTCTTGCAGGGCTTGTGCCCAGAGCCAGCAATGCAGACTGGCCAGCTGCATTAGGACCGTTCCTCTAGCAGGAGCTTGGACAAAACGGGAGATGCCAGCAGACTTACTGCCTGCAAAGCCTCAGCCGCTAATGGTCCCTGGCTTTTCCAGGCTGCATGAGGTTTTGGAAGATCCCGCAGCGCTAAGTTTTGTTAGGAAAATCAGTGGCAAACTACAACTATCCCCTGGGAAATGGCTGGCACCTGCCTCTCTACTGGGGTTCCCAGGGGGGGCAATTCAGCCCAGGAGCATGTGCTCCCCTGCAGCCCCATGTCCCGTTTGAAGACATACCTGCATCTGAGATGAATCTCCCCTGAGGAAATGCAGCCGGTGCATACCAGTCTACTCTGCCTCCCTTGGCTGCCTGCCCCTGTCTCTCCTCCCTCTGATCTCCACTTCCCTAGGGAAATGCATCCTACCACACTTCCCTGCTGTTAAATACAGATTCCCTTGGGAAGTTGCCCTGTCAGGAATCCCCCTTGATCAAACCCCTAGGTTTTGGGGTCTGAAGGGAGGATTTTAAAGTTTCACTTGTCCCCTCATGTAACACCAAGCATGGCCTTGCCACATCCAGACCTTCCTTTCCAGCCCAACCACTTGCATGAGAAACAGGGTATTTCTTTTTCCTAGGAAGCACCTCTGTGCTTATTTCCAGGCACAGCATACCATGATATGGAGAAATGTGCTGCTTGTTTCCATGTTTGATGAGGACCTGTTGAGCTCAGGGAGAGAAGGGAAAGACCTTTTACACAAGCTGAAAATCATGCTGCAGGAGGTGGCCCCTTGGACTAGGAGGCACATGAGTCCCCCAGAAACTCTCTAGAAGACAAACCAGACCCCTTTGTAGGCACCATCCTCTGCCCCCATGTCAATCACTGTTACACTTGGTAGCCTGTGTGCCTGAATGCCCACACTACTTCCCTGCAATTCTCTTCTTCCCCTCTAATTTTCCCATCTGTATTTGGCTGCCACCAAACCCCAACTTCTCCCTGTCTTTGTCTGTGCAC